TACTGTTGTTTGGCATGTTTTACACTGTTTTACAGCTTTAAATGCATTATGGGGTTTGATGTGTTCATTTTATAATTTCGAATGCATATATTACTGTTTTATTAATTATGGGTTGAATGACTGAAGAACTGATACTGTATGTTGTCTGTTTGGCATGAACTACTGTTTGCTTGTTTGAATGTGAATTGATGATGCTTATTGAGGAAAAGGGAAATGAAACATTGTGTAGACTGATAATTGTATGATGGGGTCAGCCTGACTAGATATCCTGGGAGATGGTGGACGGACCGGGTCCGTAGGGAACCCTACCGGGATTGTGGTCTCACATGCCGGACGGGGTATGGAGATCTTATGGTTTTGGCGCCCATACCGGACGGGGTATGGGGACGGCCCGTTTCACCCTCATACCGGACGGGGTATTGAGGTTTATGGTTTTGGCGCCCATACCGGACGGGGTATGGGGACGGCCCTGGAAACTGATTATGAATGTTAAAGGTTAACGGGTAGCGGAACCCCTATGGACCCCCACGGATACTAGTAGGCTGGTAAATGAAAAAAAAAAAAGATATGTTGTACAATGATTGAATTACAAGAGGCGTGATAAGTGTTATGTTTTACAGCTTAGATTATTCAATGATTATGATAATGTTATTATTTTTCTCATATTGTTTTCATAAATTCCACCAAGGTAAGTGGATGGTAAAAGTTTTATTATTGATAAAAGGTTTTGTTGTTAATAAACGAGTTTATTGTAAATTATGCTCCATTGGTCTTTTTGTGGTTTTCTACCCACCTTTATCTCCGTGACGGTGAGATATCGTGATGTTCTTACTGGGCTAGTGTAGCTCACTCCTTAATTAACCATTTCAGATCAGGAAGACATGGTTCCCGAGCCCGTTCCGCAGGAGGGCGACGAAGGGGATGCCTAGAGACTCTGTAGTCATACGCATAGTTTATTTTCGAGTTTTCTTTCTTAGTTAGTTTAACCTTTTATATTTTAAGTACGTTTGTTTGGTTTTTCGTGTAAGGGATGTTAACTGAAATTTTGATCTCGCTTCCGCATTCGATATATTTAAATACTCATTTCATTTTAATATTTTCCGGGGCCGTTACAGATATAATTAAATTTCAATATGTAATTTTATATAAAAATAAATAAATAAAGAAAAGAATTTCTCGCCAAAACGGACATGACGGAAAAAATCAAAGAGAGAGATCAAGTCTCGCTCACAGACCTTCCATGTGGCGCAATGTTTTCCCACTAGTGGACCAGAGACCCTTAACATTCTCTCTCCAAATCCTATTGGCCCACGTTTCCACCTTCTCGAACACCCGTCACCCACAATGCTGCGCAGCCCGATGACCTACGTGCCCCTCCCTTGGGGCCAGACTCGACACATATCCATCTATCATTCGTCCTTTGTGGGGCCCAATCTCAACTCTTTCCTCCACGTGGACCCCACCACATGAAAACGCCACGTTGCACTTCCCAACCAATCCCCTCTCTGCGCTGTTAAACCTACCTTTTCACACGTGTCAGCCCTCCACACGTGTCGCGGCGGAGTTCTTATAAACACCAGTCACGTCTCCCATACTTTCTCCTCCTCATACGCCAGCAATCTTCTTTAATGCGTCCAGATTGCTCCCCTCCAAATCTGCGCAAAAAAATCAACCGACTCCGGTGAACTCAGGAAACTGTGAAGAAAAACTGAGTTGCAGTGAGAGAGAGTGAGGGAATTGTAGAGGGTGAGAGAAAATAAAATTAAGAAGAACAATGGACGGTAGGGGTGGATGCTGCATAGCGAGGTATGCTGGTGATGGTGGGGTCTACCATATTTCCCAAGTGGATCAGATAATGCTCCGGTTCCGACCGATTGCCCCGAAACCGGCAACCGGCGGATCCGTTCCGCCGCTGGAGTGTAACAGTGAAGTGTACTCTAATTGTGGAAGAGGCAAGAGAAAGTACTCGAAAGAAAACAAGAACAACGTCAGCAGCAACGAAAACACAAACAACAGCAAGAGGTGCAATAGGAAGAGAAGGGTGTCGAATCGGGAAGAGAAACGAAATGGGTACAACGGAGATACAGTGGTGACACTGCCCTTGTTGCCGGAGACTCCGGACCGGAAAGACTCGCCGGCGAGAGGGTACCCGGAGGAAGCCAAGAAGGGACAAAAGTTTCCCGTGTGGCTGAGTTTTGGGAGCAGTAGTAGTGATAATAGATTTGGGGAACTGATGGGTGATGGATTAGGGTGTGGATCAGATCCGGGGGTGGTGACGCCCGAGGCGGTGAGGTTGGTGGGATCGTGCGTGACGGTGGAATGCGTGACGGAGACTTGGGTGGAGGGGGGTGGACTGGGGAGTACGGACGAGGAAAGGAGGAGAAATCTGGGAAGGGACACGTGTCCAGGGTTCATATCGGACGGCATGGGGAGGGTGACGTGGACTAATGGGGCTTACAGGGAAATGGTAGGGCAGTGTGGAGGGATGATGGTGTGGTTGGTGATGAAGGAAAGGGCGATGCTAACGTACCCGGCATTCACGTGCAGGGTGAGGTTACAGTACGCGTGTGGGAGGGAGAGGAATTCTCTGATTCTGCCTTGTGACGTGTGGAGAATGGAGGGTGGCGGATTTGCATGGAGACTGGACGTGAAAGCGGCTCTCTGCCTAGGCCGCTAATATAACTTAGTAAACCACATATATATGTGTATATATATCGGCCTGTCGTGGGTGATGTATGAATCATGCTTTTAGTGGAAAGAACAATGGATTAACACAGAGATTCTACTACTATATATATATATATATATATAGGGTGTCAAGAGCTTTGTTTAACATGTAAATACACTTATGAGAGGGGGGAGTTTAGGTACTTTTTACAGTAGATAAATGTCGGTGTCTGTCAACTTTGGCTTTCTGTGTATTAATTTGGCTGATTAGATTTGTAGGAAGCATTTGAATGAAAATTAAGCGATCTGATGAGTTTGGTTATCTTGATTTGTTGGTTTTAATCGAAGTGAAAAGGTGAAGTGTGTATGTATGTTTCTATAATTACATACCTTTTTCATGCAAGCTGCAGGTTTTCTCTTTTCAAGATTTAGTTTTTCTCTTTGCAGTTGCCACCTCCCGACGGGGAAATCTTTTATTGAGGGCTGAGAGAAATTATTAATTATGGTTATTGAAGGATAATTAGTGATTATACTCTCAGTTTGCAACAGGTAAATACATATTGTTTAACAGATGACATCTATATTTATTTTCTAGTGTATCATATATATAGATAACAAATCGTTTCAATTGACATGTGCTATTTTAACGTATTAACTCATGGTTTAAATTTATATAATAATTCTATTAAATATTAAAGACAAATATCAGTAAGTATATATATGTATCGTATAGTCAAGCAAAATTGTATGTATATAAATTTATCGATTGTAATTATATGTACTTAGTCATATAGTCTTTATTCCAGTAGTACATATAATAATTGCAAGAGTTACAAAAATTAATTTTATATCATTTTAAAAATTAATTTAAGTACATTAAAAACTGATCTAATGATTACCCATATATACAAATTCAAAATTGTACATGAGATCTAATAATTCTGTAAATTTTAATTATTTTATCGTAGATAATAATAAATTTTCATAATTGCGGACAATAATATAACAATAAATCAGCTTGAATATTCTTTATGGATAATTAATCATATATATAATTTAAAATTATTTTATCTAATTTATTTTTAAAATTTTAATAAATTCTGGATTATATATTATAAAATTAATTATATTCAGTTATAATAAGTTGAATATTTACATATATATTTACTAAAATTTTTCTTTAATCCAAAAAGATTCTAGAATTAATTACAATTATAAAGAAGATTATTATTATTTATTAACAACTGGAAAGCATAATAAGTTTCTTCTATAAATTCTTATATAAAATTATAATTTAAATAATAAAAGTACCATTTTTGTTAAAATTTTCAAATTTATTAAACAAAATGTTAATAAAATTTTAATAAATATATACTTAAAATTTTAAAATATTGGTGATAGAAATCATATTAAATTAATAATCAATACAAAATGTATTAAAATTTTCCAGTACTAGAAAATATATTATAATTCAAATACATCACTTATTTAGTAATTAACCATAAATATAATTCAAAATTGTAGATAAAAAGCTTATTATGGGTAAAAAAATCTCTAAATTTTAATTATTATATTCTATAAATTACAATATTTTTAATTATTACGAAAATTTGTATTGTAATTTCAAAAGGCTTCCATCACTGTGTTCATGATTTAGATTATTCAAGGCCCAATCCATGAACGTTTTCCAAGGTTGAGAAAACAGAGACAAAAAAGGTTTTGCAGATATTGCTCTTGCTTTTGTGTTTCCTCTTGTGTAATCTGATGATCCTCTCTAGATGATAAAATGCTGAGATCTGTAATTAGTCGTAAGAAATGCTTGGATGGTACTTTGATTCGGTATACCTATGCTGCGCATGATCTGTTTGAGAAAATGCCAGTGAGGCATTATTCTCTCTTTTTTTTTTTTTTCAAAAAGAAAAAAATGCAATCTATGATGGTCTGAGTTTGGATTTTCATTTCTTGTAATGTTGGTTTTAGGGCTGGATTGAGAACTAGACATCGTCTTGTAGCTAGCTTCACTCTGTAAAAACTTCTCAAATTTTTTACTTTTTTTATGTACTGTAACATTTTCATTCAGAGGGAAATAGTTATTGATCCAAAGCATGATAATTATTTTATTACAACTCTTCCATAGATGTTAGAAATACCTTTCCTACGTGTTTTTTGTTCTTGCATCACATAGATTTGCTAATACCTTTCATTGAGGTTATTTTACTTGAATGGTCATTTTTGTTTTCTGTTTCCTTTGTGGCTGTATTTCCATTTTTTGAATCAATAACTATTTAGTGTCAATCTCATGGTCAATATGAAACAGTGGAAATTATGAATTCTGATTGAATCTAGATCGGTCTCTATTTTAGTTTTGGATACTACCTGTTTACATTTTTTATATGTCTTGACTCTTTGGGATTGATCAGTGTTAAAAGTTGTAAAGTGGGGACTAATTTGTCAAAATAGTCATTTCATCAAGCAAATTCTTTTCCTCTTGTTTTCTTTTGTATTCTGGTTTTGATGGAGTGTTTTATAAAATCAAGTTCTAAGCTAGTCTTAGTCTTTGATTTGTCACTATTACAATTGCAGATATAAATGCTGTTTCATGGAAGAACTATGATTTTCTTTGTCATTTTGAAATTCCTTTGCATTTAAAGATTTATCAATCTGTCATTATGGATTAAATGGCATTGACCTCTCTAGCTCTCTCTATTCCTTGATTGTTCATATTATGTATGATATGTTATTATCTGCAACTCAATACAAACATGAGTCTTGACTACTTCATATTTTGTCATTTCATGAATCGATTTCATATCTTTTCCATTTTCTTCTTTCTCAGAAAACATGTTCGGGGGAGATAATTTGTGAGAGGGAATGGAGCAGGAAAAGAACTAAGGGGTCATAGTTTTGTTATCTTTATTTTTTTAGCCTGTAATTATTTAATAATTTTTTCCAGTTGATTTTACTTGATCATGGTGAAATGTAATCGTCACTCACTTGCATTGTACATAGGATACAAACAAAATGCATTGTACATAGATTTGCACCCCCTTGGTGCTTGTGAATGAAGTCTATCCTATTTTTATTTCCGAAGAAAAAATATGGATGTTTGTATAAACTGGAATTCCCCGGTGGATATTCAACAAGTCCAAGTATACCTCTTGAAGCCAGCATCCTTTGCCAAACAAAAAACAATCAGATACAGCAGCTACTGTGTGCAACCATAAGAAAGCATTTGCCGCAAATGAGATCCAAGGCAATAATCTGGCCTCCTGATAACAGAAGATAGATACTTGTTAATAAACACATTTTAGGCTGCGAACTAGCAGAAAAACTCATAGAAGACATGCCTGGAACCATAAGCATATTTTGGTGAATCCCAAAACGCACCGTTTCCAAGTTCGTTAGAACTAATTGCGTACATCCGGCGCTGGCGCCACTTAAAAAAGTTACCGTTAGAACGCGCTCTCTCTCTCTCTCTCTCTCTCTCTCTCTCTCTCTGTATTCGTTTTCCTATCGTGGAAGGTGAGATCGGATTGATTGGTTTGCAAGAAACAGGTCATCTACGAGTTGGAAAAGGAAATATTCAGTATAAATCACATTATAACTCACTTCACTTCAGTTCATTATTGAAGGATGCTCTTCTCCTTGCTGATCATAAGGAGACTCTCCCTGTTGTTGCTCATCATCCAAAAACAAAAAAACTCAATTCACGTCCTTGTTCAACGAGAAACAACGATGACCAATCGACTTACTCCCAAAGATCTGGACAGATTGGATAATGGTTCGTTCCAGAGAAAGAAAGCAGAAATTGAGGGTTTCGTGGGAAAGGAATGAAAAGAGTTAGTGATCGACTTGCTCACTAAACGAGTTGTCCATGAATTCATCATGATAGGAAACAAGAAACCCGTTGCAGTGACAGTAGAAGACCCATCTCCAGCTGTAAAGACGGAATTTTCTTTCTTTGAAAATATACCAAGGAAAAAGCGAAGCAGCAGAGTACGCAAATCGGTTGCCGTTGCCGTTTCGTTCCCAGTCCTCGATACAGAGTCTGAAAAAAACATTAAGATGATCGAAGAATCGGGTCGACAACTAGAGAAGGAAAAAAATGAGGATGAGCTGAAAGTTTCCTCTCGGAAAAGGCGTTTTGAGTCAGATGAAGGAGGTGGAAAAAGGGCTAAGATCCGCAAGAACCCTAAACCAGACTCATCGGAGATACCAACGGAATTGCCTGAACCATTTAAGAGTCGTGTACTGGAGATGGGCGGTAGAGATATCAAATTTGTTATGCGGAAGACTATCTTCAAATCGGATTTGCTAAGGTCGCAGAATCGGATTTTGATACCAGCGGGTGAAGTGAAGAGCCCGTTCCTTTTTCCAGAGGAGGAGATGAAGTTGGCTTCCAAAGAAAGCATAGAAGTTACTTTAATAGAGCCTTGTGTTGACGCCAGTTTTACATTGCCTTTGAAGAGGTGGCATATGGGTAACATGCCCTATGCACTGATAGGCAACTGGTTTAGCGTTGCCCAGAGGAACGGTGAATCACCGGGAGTTGGTAGTGACGTACAACTCTGGGCACTCAGACACCAGCATTCAAGTCTTGTTATGGTTTTGGTCCCTGTCCCACAACAAGGACAAGTTACAAATCAATCTTCCGATGGGGCCTCATCTTCTCGTGCTCATTCTACTGCCAACCAATCACAAGAGCATTAGGATTCTTTTTCTTCTTTCTTTTTGAGTCACTACCATTTAGGCTTATTACCCACCAATCATTGACCATTTATGTAACATATCTTTTGGTCAATAAGTATCTTGATTTAGACTTCCACTTACATGGATGATTAGCAATTTCCCTTTTTGTAAAACGATCTCAAATAATGGGAAAATTCAGTTAGTATATTTTCAATGCTATATTCTAGCAACTTTGCATAAATCAAATAACTCAAATTTTGGCATTTGGATAATTATTCTAGATATAGTTAAATTGTTCATGCTCTCATATGTTTGCATTTAAGGGCACAACGTCAAGGATTCTTGAAAACTGTTTATCAAAATTTTTAATGCGGTTGGCTCTTGGCCGAGAATCAATAATGTTTTGAACTTGTTAATAAACAAGATGTGTGGTAGACCAACTAGATAATGCACAATGAAATGCAGTATTCATTCATTCTCTTTATTACAAAACTTATCAAACTACAAAAAAAAAAAAAAAATCAAATAATCAACTAGTGAAATTTTTAACTCCCATGTTCATTTTAAAAATTTTCATTAATTAAAATTCATGACTTGAACTAGTATTTACAAAGCAAAGTCCAGACCCTATAGATTAAAATGAAAGATGCAGAAATAGCAGCAAAAGTAGATTGAGAAAACTGCTCACCTTTTATTATGAAATCGACCACCATAAAAAGATTTTCTAGTGAAACCTCAAATCCAACGCCAAGAACTATTTCGAAAAGCATAGAATACATCAATACTCAACTATTTGGTAGGAAGTTTAATATTCTTACTTTGTGTTTGTAACCTCACCAAATTTACCTTTAGTCCTCAATTTCTCACATCATCATCTCTAGATCCTGCACTAAATTTACATTTTTTTTTCTTGCGTCACATAGATTGCAAATACCTTTTATTGAGGTTATTTTATTTAAATGGTCATTTTTTGTTTTCTGTTTCCTATGTGGCTATATTTCTATTTTTTAACAGATCTTTTATATACTTTATTTCATGTCAATTCCATGGTCAATATGGAATAACGAAAATTTAAATTCTGATTGAATTTGTATGAGTTTCTATTTTAATTTTGAATATTATCTGTTTACTCTACCTTTTATATATCCTGACACTTTGGGATTGACCAGTGTTTAAAGGTGTAACATGGGGGCTAATTTGTCAAGATAGTCTTTTGATCATGCATATTCTTTCCAACTCTTATTTTCCTTTAAATTCTGATTTTGATAGAGTGCACATTTTCTTATCTATAAATGTTTGTTAGTTAGTTATTTTTTAAAATTAAGTTCAAAGCTAGTTTTAGTCTTAGATTTATCACTACTACGATTGCAACTTTATGTAAGCTTCTCCTATATCACAGGTTGTAACTGTAGGGTGTCAAATATGGTTATATAAATACTATTTCGTGGAAGCATTGTAATTTTCTTTGTCATTTCAAATCCTTCATGTTTGAAGATTTAACAGTCTGTCATTATAGATTAAATGGTGTTGACCTCTCTAACTACATTGTTTCCTTGATTGTTCATTTTATATGAGGTGTTAGTATTTGCAACTAAATACAAATATTAGTCTTGATTACTTTGTATTATGTTGTTTGATGAATCAATTTTAGAGTTAAATGTAACACCCAATAAAATTTTTTAATTTTATTTTTGTTTTTTTAATATATTTATTTAATTAATTTTAATTTAATGAAAAAAGGGATAAAATTTGTTAAGAATTAATTTGAAAATAATTTTGGAGAAAAGGGGTAAAAATTTGGGTTCTGAGGGTATTTTTGAAAGAAAAATAAAAAAACAGGGGTCAAAACGTAATTTATAAAAGTTACGCCACGTCAGATGCCCGGTCAGCAGCCCCGACCAAACTAGGATGCACCAGGTGGCAGAGGTGCTGACGCGGGAGGCCACGTGGGGGGAGCCACGTGGGCGATCCGCGTGTGCGCGATCAAACGACTGAGATCCATTCCCGCGCGCACGGATGACCCAAATTGCATCGTGCACGGATGACCCAGATTGAATCGCGATGAACAACTTAGATTCACTCCCTATTTAATCGCGATCGGACAGTCCAGATCAAAAGCAATGGACAGCTCAGATTAAAAGCGGATAGGTGTAAATAACCTCATATGCACCCAAATCCTAACCCTAGCCGCCAGAGCCCCTCGTCGGAGAAGACAGCCCAGCCGTTGGAGAGCCGACCGCCGCCATCCGCCGCCGCCGAAGCTTGGCAGCGCCGCCGCAGGGTGTTTCAAAAACGCCTCCGATGAGGCCATTGCCGATTCTCGTTTGATGTGATTTTTCCACCGTTGTGATCACCGTTTTCTTCTCTATAGGTTGAGCGGAACAAAACACCTAACCGCAACGTGAGCCGGAGGAGCCGCCGCACCTGAGAGCCCCACCGCTGGTGAGTTTCTGTTTTCTACATTTTTTCAGCCCATCGAGGGCGCTAAGTGTGTTTTATCGTAGGAACCGATGCAAATTTGGCTGAATTTAGTCGAAATCGGGGGAAAACAGCCAACCCGAGGCGGATCACCGCCGGCACTGTCGCCGAAGCACGGTGGCCAGATTTCCAAAATTGGCCTAGTACGCCCTGGGTCTGATTTTTGAGTTATTTAGAACATTTGTAAGTACTGTGAGCGCGTTTCAGTTCCTGAAGAAAAATTCAAGGAAGCAGGGACCGCCCGTAGGTGCAGTAAACTATTTAACTTTTTAGCGTCAAATCAAGTAAGGATTTCTCATCCTATTTCCTATAATGGAATTGAAGTTTGAATAAATGATAATATCTATATTTTGTACAAATTAAATAGATGTGCATAATTAATTACGGATTGCTAATGGAGTCCGAATCAGATATTGTTCTTTGTTGATTTCTGTTGATTGATCTTGCAGTCTAAAAGCATAATGATTTCTAGTTTATCTATTTTATGGTTTAAATGCATGTATTATTGTCTTACTTGACCATTATTTGATTTCGGGATGTAAGATATGATTGCATTGCCGAATACATATTTATTTGTTTATGTGATAATATTTGATTTAGTAACGGAGACTAAAGAAAAACAAGAAAGGAGTGTGATCTAATAAATAGATAAGACGACAGCCTCACTAGATATCCTAGGAGATGGTAGACAAACTGGGCTCATAGGAAACCCTACTGTGAACGTTGTTCCATACTGGACGGGGTATGGAGACTTGGTCATTTGGCGCTCATACCGGACGGGGTATGAGGACAGCCCACTTCACCTTAATACCGGACGAAGTATGAGGTTATAATGTCTTGACGCTCATACCGGCCGGGGTATAGGGACAACTATATAATTAAAACTGTTAAAGGAAATGGTTCACGTGTAGTAGGGACACCCATATGGATCTCCATGAATACTAATAGGCTGGTGAAACGAGTAACGGTTACGAGTTCGTCTATTGTTAATGGATATAGATTTATAATATATACCGTGATGGTTGATTATGCATGAAATTATAATCTATATGATGTTATTATCTTTATAGGTTGTTTTCATGAATTTCCCAATGGTAAGAAAAAGGATAAATAGTATATTTTAGATAAATGTATTGGTTTAAATCTACTGCTCCATTGGTTGTTTTGATTTTCTACCAACTTTTACTTCTATGACAGTGATATAGTGTGATGTCTTTACTAGGCTAGTGTAGCTCATTCATTATTTAACTATTTCAGATAAAGAGGACATGATTACCGAGCCCGATCCGCAAGAAAACTGCGAATAGATGCTAAATACCTTATATTTTCCTTATTTTTCTAATTTTTCATTTTTTTTTCCAGATAATTCATTCCGTGATGTTTGTTTAGTGCTTTTAAGTTATTGTGTAAGGGATGTAAATTTTAACTTTTTATTTCGCTTCCACACTTAAATTAGGCTTGATTACTTTGTATTATGTTGTTTGATGAATCAATGTCAGAGTTAAATGTATGGATTCAGGAATGCGACATGTGTTAGAGATAAAAATGTTATGTTTATAATCTAATTATTCGTGTAATATATAAAATATATTATTATTTGATATTTATTTTAATATATGATAATAATATTTTTATATCATATTTATTATTTTATTGTTTAATATATGTGATAAAGTATTCGATTAAATTTATAGATTTTGTAACACCCAACATTTCATTATTTTTATTTTTATTAATTATTATTATTTTTTTATATAAATATAATTATTGTTTATATGATTTTAATTTAATTTATTTAATTTTAATTTGATTTAATGAAAATAATAATAATAATAATAATAATAATAAAAAGGGTAAAAATTTGGTTAGGGATTTAATCGAAAATAATTTTGGAAAAAATAGGTGAAAACTTGGGTTCTGAGATATTTTTGAAAGAAAAATCGAAAACAGGGGGTTAAAACTCAATTTAGAAAAGTTACGCCACGTCAGCTGTCCGGTCAGCAGTCTCGACTAATTAGAACGCACTAGGTGGCAGAGGCGCTGACACAGGAGGCTACGCGGGGGGAGCTGGATGGGCGATCTGTGTGCGCGCGATCGAACGGCTGAGATCCGTTCCCGTGCGCACGGACGGCCCAGATTGCATCGCGCACGGACGGTCCTGATTGAATCGCGCACAGAAGGTCCTGATTGAATCGCGATGAACGGCCCATATCAAAAGCGGATAGGTATAAATAACCCCATCCGCACCCAAACCCTAACCCTAGCCGCTAGAGCCCATCGCCGAAGAAGACAACCCAGTTGTTGGGGAGCCGACCGCCGCCACCCGCCGCCATATCGGAGCAATTTTCGACCGCCAAACGAGGTAAATTTTTTTTCTCTTGTACAAAATTCAATTTTAAACCTACCCATGGCAAAATCATAGTAAAAGAACTGGCCGAAAAATGCCGCGGGGTATTTCAAAAAACACCTCCGATGAGGTCCCTCTCGATTCCCGTTTGATGTGATTTTTTCACCGTTGCGACCACCGTTTCATTCTCTACAAG